GGTCAGCAGGCCCTCTCCTAAACTTGTTCTCAGGGTCGGAAATTTTTCGAAAAAAAAAAAAAAAAAAATCTTATGAAATGATAGAGAATCTTTTCCCTATCATAATGACACCAAAAGTATGAAATCTGATGGAAAACTTACAGAATTATGCTCTTGCGAAGTTAGTCTTGACGATGTTTACACATCGGCGATTTCGCCCACTTTGAGTCCTATTTTTGGCCAATTCCAACGTACCAGTTGACAAAAATCATAACTATTTTGCTAGAACTCCATTTTTTTCCCTTCAAATGAGTACAAGAAACCACCCATTTACCGATTTCAACTATCCAATAAAGTGGTCAGAAATTGACAATTTTGCCAATTTCACACAAATTTCAAAATATGCCAATTTCCAAATAGGGTCCAGAATAAACAAGACAGACATTCCTAGCACTAAAATAATTTTTTTTCTGTTCATTAGTCACGTCCACAGGCATCTCTCACATTTATTTTGCTTTTCACTTTGAATTTTTCTCACAAAAAAAATAGAAGATTTACTGTTATGCAGACTACTGCATTAGTGTAGAAATGGTATAAATAATATTAGCGCACTTGTGAAAGAATATTAGACTCACCAGTTGACGTGTATTGGACGCGTGGCATGATTTGTTTACTTTTGAACTTTGGCAAAAATCGAACATTTCTGCTACTTTGAGCTCAATTTCAAGGTACTTTTCATTGTGAAACCAATCAAAATCATCTCAATTTCTGTAATATGTCTTCCATTCTATAAAATGAGACCAGGAAAACTAGAATACAACCATTAATAGCATACAAAAATACACTGCAAAGTTTTTGTTTTAAAGCAAAAATTCAGTTTTTTTTTTCTTATTATGCACTGTGTGCTGCAGAATTTTTTTTATACTGTGCACAGACCACTTAAACCCATTCTTTCACATGTAGGCCTACCAGCTTTCTTTCGCTAAATTTGAAGGCGCTAGAATTTATGCGTATTAGTACGTCAGTAACCCTGGTGTGCAAGCTGTACTAGTATGGCACCAACCCTGAAAGAGCTAAAAATAATAACTTGAGAACTTACGGCTAAGTGATGTACACATAACCTCCCCATGACATAGCCTTTATGCTCTGCATTAGGAAGAGAATACCTGGGAAAAAGGCCCTGCTAGTGGATCCATGGGAAATGGTATAGTTCCAACTGCTGAAAACCTTCCTCACTGTTGATGTACAATGATGGGAGTCTTTCCTAATTGTAACTTGGGACCAGTCCCATCCCTGGACCCATCACATATCTTGGTAATCCTTTGACTACCACCCACAGGATGGATAATAAAGATAACAATTTAATTAAACTTCTAGTTGTAAACTAGGGACAAAAGGATTGAAATGTCCAAGAGGAATGTGAACAGCAATGATGGTTAAGAGCCTTGGTGGAAGAATCAGTGTTCTGTTGGTGGAATGAGTAGAGGAAATAAGACATGATAAAAATACTGTATGTTAGGAGTATCCCAAGCCAGGGAGGGTAGAAGTGTTGTAGGAGACCACCAAAGAACCTCACCACATTTAGAATGTCTTGTGCAGCTATGAGACATGCAAAGGAAGGGGATGCATCCTTCTCTTTCACCCACAGCCCCAGAATCAAATTGAGCAATCAATGCATACAATAATCAGCAATGAAATTAAGTAGAATGCTCTGCTTTGTTAAAGAAGTATCAGCCCCAGTAAAGGCAGGACCAAGAACTTTCCAAGAATGAATACTCATCTTCCCAAGTATTTCAAATACTCGAGTTTCAGAGTCCTCATGGTAATAAGGGAGTGTAAAAAATTACATGGGAGCATTAAAGTCATACATGCAGGGAAAGAAAAGAGATAGTCAAACTTTGGCAAAAGTTAAATCTGGGCAAACAAAACTTGTAGAAGGAAAGTAGGAATTTATCACCAACAGTTGCTTCTTGAATTTGACTCTGAGCTAAAATACATCCTGAGGTTCCTGCACTGTAATCATGGAAGGGTAAGCCTTCTGAATTTTAGCCAGTAACAGGCAAAAAATGCTGCAAGTTCAGAATCAGCAGTAACATTCCCAGTGTCTTGGGCATAGATAGTAGTGCTGTCAAAGTATCATGGAACTAACATAATTGGATGTACAAATGAAGCACAGGACAGTAACTCAAGCCAGTGTATGGTTGGGTGGTTCGCTGCAAAGTAAGCCACTCCCAGGGGTAGAAACATCAGGATGACATGCAACCAATGATGGAGAAGCAGATGGTAGAGTATGGAGGATGGTAAAAGCACCGAAAGAAAAAGTCGTCTTCCATGCAGACAAAACCAGAAGAGTAGGAAGGTGTCACTCAAATGGTGAGTGGAGAGGCAAGAAGACAATAACATACTTGCAGGAGATTTTTTTTTTTTATTATCACACTGGCCGATTCCCACCAAGGCAGGGTGGCCCGAAAAAGAAAAACTTTCACCATCATTCACTCCATCACTGTCTTGCCAGAAGGGTGCTTTACACTACAGTTTTTAAACTGCAACATTAACACCCTCCTTCAGAGTGCAGGCATTGTACTTCCCATCTCCAGGACTCAAGTCCGGCCTGCCGGTTTCCCTGAACCCCTTCATAAATGTTACTTTCCTCACACTCCAACAGCACGTCACGTATTAAAAACCATTTGTTTCCATTCACTCCTATCAAACACGCTCACGCATGCCTGCTGGAAGCCCAAGCCCCTCGCACACAAAACCTCCTTTACCCCCTCCCTCCAAACTTTCCTAGGCCGACCCCTACCCCGCCTTCCTTCCACTACAGACTGATACACTCTTGAAGTCACTCTGTTTCGCTCCATTCTCTCTACATGTCCGAACCACCTCAACAACCCTTCCTCAGTCCTCTGGACAACAGTTTTGGTAATCCCGCACCTCCTCCTAACTTCCAAACTACGAATTCTCTGCATTATATTCACACCACACATTGCCCTCAGACATGACATCTCCACTGCCTCCAGCCTTCTCCTCACTGCAACATTCATCACCCATGCTTCACACCCATATAAGAGCATTAGTAAAACTATACTCTGATACATTCCCTCTTTGCCTCCAAGGACAAAGTTCTTTGTCTCCACAGACTCCTAAGTGCACCGCTCACCCTTTTCCCCCTCATCAATTCTATGATTCACCTCATCTTTCATAGACCCATCCGCTGACACGTCCACTCCCAAATATCTGAATACATTCACCTCCTCCATACTCTCTCCCTCCAATCTGATATCCAATCTTTCATCACCTAATCTTTTTGTTATCCTCATAACCTTACTCTTTCCTGTATTCACTTTTAATTTTCTTCTTTTGCACACCCTACCAAATTCATCCACCAATCTCTGCAACTTCTCTTCAGAATCTCCCAAGAGCACAGTGTCATCAGCAAAGAGCAACTCTGACAACTCCCACTTTGTGTGATTCTTTATCTTTTAACTCCACGCCTCTTGCCAAGACCCTCACATTTACTTCTCTCACAACCCCATCTATAAATATATTAAACAACCACGGTGACATCACACATCCTTGTCTAAGGCCTACTTTTACTGGGAAATAATTTCCCTCTTTCCTACATACTCTAACTTGAGCCTCACTATCCTCATAAAAGCTCTTCACTGCTTTCAGTAACCTACCTCCTACACCATACACCTGCAACATCAGCCACATTGCCCCCCTATCCACCCTGTCATACGCCTTTTCCAAATCCATAAATGCCACAAAGACCTCTTTAGCCTTATCTAAATACTGTTCACTTATATGTTTCACTGTAAACACCTGGTCCACACACCCCCTACCTTTCCTAAAGCCTCCTTGTTCATCTGCTATCCTATTCTCTGTCTTACTCTTAATTCTTTCAATAATAACTCTACCATACACTTTACCAGGTATACTCAACAGACTTATCCCCCTATAATTTTTGCACTCTCTTTTGTCCCCTTTGCCTTTATACAAAGGATCTATGCATGCTCTCTGCCAATCCCTAGGTACCTTACCCTCTTCCATACATTTATTAAATAATTGCACCAACCACTCCAAAACTATATCTCCACCTGCTTTTAACATTTCTATCTTTATCCCATCAATCCCAGCTGCCTTACCCCCTTTCATTTTACCTACTGCCTCACGAACTTCCCCCACACTCACAACTGGCTCTTCCTCACTCCTACAAGATGTTATTCCTCCTTGCCCTATACACGAAATCACAGATTCCCTATCTTCATCAACATTTAACAATTCCTCAAAATATTCCCTCCATCTTCCCAATACCTCTAACTCTCCATTTAATAACTCTCCTCTCCTATTTTTAACTGATAAATCCATTTGCAGGAGATCCCACATATATTCACTGATTTTAGACCTGGGCATGCCATACATGGGAGACCACAAGAACATGGTGTATATGAACAAGTGGAGTGTCTGCAATAATAAGAGTTCTCCATGATGAATGAGGTCCATAAGAGAAAACAGGCAAGAGAATGTTGGTGCATACTTGAGTACTGGTAATTTACTTAGATAAGCACTGGAGGGAGAACCAGTGTGCATGCACACAGGAGATAAACAAGGCTTAACTAGCTCAAGAAATGATATGAGTCTTATATACTGCTAACACAGAGGTTATACAAAAGGTACTATTCCTAATGTGGTCTATGGAACCTGAAGAAACAATAGTAACATTTCAAAACTGTGTAATATATTTATATAATTATCCTTGATTTCTAACTGTGCAATCTATAAAGATGTGCTCATATTTTTAATACAAGACTGCCAAACTTAGTAGCCAAGCTCTTATCACCATTGTTTCATGCAAAAAGCATTTGTCTTTTTAATTCTTTACATTATTATTTAAAATGTGCAATTATGGATTTTGTTAAAGATGTTTATTAAAACAAATTAATAATTTGACACATAAATATTGCAAATTTAGAATTATTCAGACACATTATAAGTTTAGTTATGAACTGACACCATACCTGCCTTAGAAAAGTGAACAAGACAGGGCTTCTATTCATAATTCCCCTGCTGTGACCATGTCCACACTGCAGTCACACTGTAAGACACAAAGTCTCTAAATTTAACACAATTTTATCACCCTTCCCATCCCCAGTGTTTGACAAGTCACTTAATACTGTGCTTTGATATACAGCATTCTGTAGTTTATCCTGGAAACAACTATGCTAATACAACTGTATGATATATTCTGTAGTTATCCTAGGACAGTTATGCTAATACAACTGTATGATAAATTCTGAAGCTATCCTAGGACAACCTTGCTTTATTCTACTGAACAGAAGAAAGATAGCTCAACATGAGATGGTTCTCTGCATGATTCATGACTGTCTCTAATTTGTGAAGATCAACAAAAAATGATCTAAGCCTACTAGTCCTGGTAACTCAGAAATAATACACAAATAACCCACATGTAGGAGGCTTAAACTTATGATGTTGTTTCAGTTAAACTTGGACCTTAAATAGTCACACAGAAAAATGGTCCAAGTTAGACTGAAATGACATCATAAGTTTTCTACATGCAGGTTATTTGTGTATTGTTCCACTCACAGTATTGTCTTTTTTTCTACTTTATTCTGAAAAAAAAATTATTTAACCCCAAAACAGCTTGTGTGATGCATGGGTCATCATGGTAACCCGTTTGTCACATAAGTTTGTAAGAATATACATTCTGGGTTGGGGTTGAAAAATTTAATTTACTTTTATAATTACTGTGACCATGGGGTGCCAACCCCATGGTCACAAGTAGGTTTGGTGTAAATTTTACAGATCCACATAAAGTACAGAGTGACACATGATTTACTCCACATGTATCATGCAGGGAATTGCCCAGTATATCAACATAAAGAACTAAGCAAATGCAAAAAGCAATACCACTAGGTAGTGACCTTTGGACATCATAAAATAATATACAAAGTTTGAAGTTCTGCATGCAGAATTTTTTTTAACATAAACATGATCTAATATTTCTGAGTAACTGTAAGGCAAATACAAGTGACATTCACGCAGCTCACAAGTGCTACTAATCCCTCATTATTTTCAGAGAAAAAACTAATCATGTGATGTAAGATTAATCTGATGTAGAACTAAATAGTGTAGAACTAAGTAGTGTATATGCTCTGAGCTTCAACTCTGGCAAATAAGGACTAGAGTTGCACAGTACATAATAAACAACAATATTCTAAGGAAAAAACTATCAAAATAAGGCATTGAGAAAAATTCAACAAAAATAAGTCATGTGTTTCATTAAAAAACAATCAATAATGCTCAAAAGTAAAACAACCCAAATATTATATGGTAAATCAATATTTTTATAGATCTTATATATGGTAAATACTGTACAGATAAGAATTAGAGTAAAATTACATGATATATCATCAATACATACATATATCAAACAACACATATCTGGCATTGCCAAAGCTGTTTGAAATAATGAATGATAATTGAAACAGAAAAATATAATTATAAATAGACATCAAAAGACATTAAAATAATATTTAAAAAAAACAGCTATGCATTATATCATATAATAATACCTAGTCTCCCATTCCTTATTATCATAAGACCAACACTAAGTCACAAGCTGAGGATGAAATGTAAGGAACTTACCAAATTTTTTGTGTTAATGTGCTCTGTGCACTGCCTTCTAGTGTTCCTTAGAGGCACTGTAACCCACAGTTTAGTTCTGTACTTATTCTTAATTTATTCTAACAATATTAAACACATGAGTAATATCCGAGTGATCCATTTTAATATATTTACAGGATTAAACACCAGGCAAAATGGTCTCATTTTATTAATTTGTTTAGAGTTTAGTGATCTCATTCTCTACCAAATGTAGGTCACACTGATTTATCAAATGTGGAAAGATTAGAGTTTCTATAGAAAACTGCATACTGAGACATACTTTTCCCGCTTCAGAAACCATAAAGATCTCAGATTGAATTACATTACATGTATACTTATTCCTGCCTAATCCCTACCTCTTTTAGACCCAGTTGATCTTATTGCTAGTTTATGACTAATATATATACATATAGTCATTACCCTATTATTGTTGCATGAAGGTGCCTGAAGGGGACTGTGGGAATGACCAGCCTAAGTTTACAACCAGAAAAACAGCTTGTGGATGGGGTGGAACCCTGGGCAAGTCATGATTCCTGGCAGAAAAGTGTTTCTTTGACATCTGAAACTCAGCATTCTGTTGTACTCTGGAAGGCCCAGTCTGAACTGCACTACCAGCACCAAGAACCTGCCCTTTTTGTAGGTGAGACCCCATAGCTGTAAGTTCTCCAAAAGAACCCCTAGTCTAAAGGAATGCATGGGCAAACTGAGCCCAGAGAAGGAAATGCTATGGCAGAGGCCACAACAATAAAGACAAATTCCACAGATAAGTCAGCAGGATGAAACCTGCAAAACAAAATTCCAGGATAATTGTAGGGGTGGATGGAGAAGTACAGTCTTATTAGAGTAGGAGACAAACCCCATCCAAGAATGTGGCTGGAATCGTGCCACAGAGATTCTGACAATGATCCAGGAAGAATACCGATACAAGGAACTGAAACATTGATCTCACGGGACCAAAGATACACCAGAGCAAATCAAGATGAAACAGAACAGTGCTGAGCAGAGCCAGAGAGGCCAAAAGCAGTGACAACAGGAGATGATGAACAACAGCCATCAATAATAACCATAGTAGCACTATACAGCTGTTGAACAAGTGGCATGTCCTAGATGACTGTCCAGAAGAGGAAATCCTGCCCCATTGACCTGGTCAAGGCCCTAATCAGGATGCACCTAAACACGTGAGGTTGAGCTTAACCAAAATCAAGGAACTAGAATGATGTCACTGGCAATCAACACCCATACCAGCATCCTTTGCGCCCAGAAATGAGAAATGGAAACAAGAAACTGACGCAACCACAACTGAAGAGAGAGAGAGATGCTGAGTGGGTGAACGTAAATCTGGATATTCCTGCAGCTGTCCGAGCATGGGGCAGATGGGGACTTGGATAAATAATAAATCACAAACTCTGGATGTCAACTGGGACTGGTAAGGCATGCTTGCCTTTCTTGGTTTCCACAACACATCACAACAATAGAGCAACAACTTGATCTGCAGTCCCAATATCCTAAGAAATAGAAGTGGTGAAGCACAGAGGGAAACAGGTGTATAATCAGAGGACCAATGGGAAAAAAGAACAATGATAGCTAGAGTAGGGAACAAAACATGAAGTCCCAGCAGCAAGAAGCAAAACGTATGTATGCATGTGTATGTGTGCACGTGCACACATGCTTGTTCTCACCTAAATGTACTTACCTATATGTAGTTGCAGGGGTCGATTCACAGCTTCTGGCCCCACCTCTTTGCTGGTCTCGACTCTAAGATCCCTGTCATATTTCTCCTTCACTCTACTACTTCACTCTCCAGACTGTTACACCACCTGACAACTTTAAGGCTAAAGAAATGCTTCCTAACATCCCTATGACTCAGCTGAGTTTTCAACTTTCAGTTGTGTCCCCTTGCTCCTTTATCCCATCTCTGAAAATATTCTGGTCCTGTTCACCTAGTCAATTCCCCTCAAGATTTTATTTATGATTATCATATCCCCCTTATCCCTCCTGTCCTCTAGTGTCATCAGGTTGAGTTCCCTTAACCTCTCCTCAGAGATATCATATCCCTTAGTTCCGTGAACAGACTTGTTGCAAACTTTTGCACTTTCTCCAATTTCCTGATGTGCATGACCATGTGTGGGTTCCTTACTGGTGCTGCATAATCTAATATGGGCCTGACACACACAGTGTACATTGTCATGAATGACTCCTTACTTAAATGTTGAAACACTATTCTTAGGTTTGCCAGGCATCCCTTTGCTGCATCAGTTATTTCATTAATGTGTATCTCAGGAGATGTACTCAGTATGATGCTCACCCTCAGATCCTTTTCCTTGAGTGAGGTTTGCAGCCTTTGACCCCCTCTCCCCAAGACTTGCACTCCATCTGCAGTCTTTTTTGTCCTTTCCCGAGCTTCATAACTTTGCACTTGGTGGGGTTAAACTTCAAGAGCTTGAAGCCTGTCCAGATCCCTTTATAGCCTTTCATGATCCTTGTCCATTTGTATTATTCTCATTAGTTTCATGTCATCTGCAAACAGGGACATCTCTGACTCTATCTCTTCTGTCATGTCATTCACAGATTCAAAAAACAAAGCACTGGTCCTAGGATTGATCCTTGTGGAACCCTACTCGACACATGTGCCCACTCTGACACTTCGTCACATACCATCACTCATTGTCTCCTTCCTATCAGGTATTCCTTGGTCCACTGTAGTACTTTTCTTGTTATTTCTCTCTGCTCCTATAGCTTTTGCACCCTCTCTTGTGCAGTACTGTATCAAAAGTTTTCTTATAGTTCAAGAAAAAGAAATCTGCCCACACCTCTCTTTCCTGTCTTATGTCTGTTACCTTGTCATAGAACTCCAGTAGGTTTGTGACACAGGATTTTCCATCCCTACTGGTTGTCATGTATGAACCCATTTTTTTCTATGTGATCCACCACTCTTCTGATAATCTTCTCCATAACTGTACATACTTTACATGTCAGTGACACTAGTCTGTAGTTTAACCCTTAAACGGTCCAAACGTATATATACGTTCACTCGCGTAGCGCCCCAAATTTTTTGAGAGAAAAAAAAAATTCTTTTTTTAATAGGAAAAAAGAGCATATGGTACCCAGGCATCCCCAATTATTTTAATATGGTGCACAGTGAGTGCGCACACCCATTCTCTCATGTCTAGGTGACTCAGGCTTATCGTGGCAATGTTGAATGAATGACAAAGAAAACGTATATATACGTTTGGGGCGCTACGCATGTGAACGTATATATACGTTTGGACCGTTTAAGGGTTAATGGTGTGTGTGCACACGCACATGTGGTGTGTGTGTGAGCATGTATGTGCGTGTGAGCATGTATGTGTATATGTGTGCATGTGTGCACCGAGACCCACTGGAGTCAGAGTGACAATTCTATTTCCCCGT